TGAGGTGTCAGGTGTTGGAGGTGTGGACTGTGTCAGGTGTTGGAGGTGTGGACTGTGTCAGGTGTTGGAGGTGTGGAGTATGTCAAGTGTTGAAGGTGAGGAGTGTGTCAGGTGTTGGAGGTGTGGACTGTGTCAGGTGTTGGAGGTGGGGAGTGTGTCAAGTGTTGAAGGTGAGGAGTGTGTCAGGTGTTGGAGGTGAGGAGTGTGTCAGGTGTTGGAGGCGGGGAGTGTGTCAGGTGTTGGAGGTGAGGAGTATGTCAGGTGTTGAAGGTGAGGAGTGTGTCAGGTGTTGGAGGTGAGGAGTGTGTCAGGTGTTGGAGGCGGGGAGTGTGTCAGGTGTTGAAGGTGAGGAGTGTGTCAGCAGGTGTTGGAGGTGTGGACTGTGTCAGGTGTTGGAGGTGTGGACTGTGTCAGGTGTTGGAGGTGGGGAGTGTGTCAAGTGTTTGAAGGTGAGGAGTGTGTCAGGTGTTGGAGGTGAGGAGTGTGTCAGGTGTTGGAGGCGGGGAGTGTGTCAGGTGTTGGAGGTGAGGAGTGTGTCAGGTGTTGGAGGCGGGGAGTGTGTCAGGTGTTGGAGGTGAGGAGTGTGTCAGGTGTTTGAAGGTGAGGAGTGTGTCAGGTGTTGGAGGCGGGAAGTGTGTCAGGTGTTGAAGGTGAGGACTGTGCCAGGTGTTGGAGGTGAGGAGTGTGTCAGGTGTTGAAGGTGTGGACAGTGCCAGGTGTTGGAGGTGAGGAGTGTGTCAGGTGTTGAAGGTGTGGACTGTGCCAGGTGTTGGAGGTGAGGAGTGTGTCAGGTGTTGGAGGTGTGGACTGTGCCAGGTGTTAGAGGTGAGGAGTGTGCCAGGTGTTGGAGGTGAGGAGTGTGTCAGGTGTTGGAGGTGTGGACTGTGCCAGGTGTTAGAGGTGAGGACTGCGCCAGGTGTTGGAGGTGAGGAGTGTGTCAGGTGTTGAAGGTGTGGACAGTGCCAGGTGTTGGAGGTGAGGAGTGTGTCAGGTGTTGAAGGTGTGGACTGTGTCAGGTGTTGGAGGTGAGGAGTGTGTCAGGTGTTGGAGGTGTGGACTGTGCCAGGTGTTAGAGGTGAGGAGTGTGTCAGGTGTTGGAGGTGAGGAGTGTGCCAGGTGTTGGAGGTGAGGAGTGTCTCAGTAGTAGTAACCAGTTACCAGTAACCGTACCGGTGGTTGACTCACTGCCAACCGTCTCTGCCTGAGTCACTGTCTGAACTCATATTGTGCTGACCTAGCACTATTCAAAGACCCCCTCACATATGGGTACTGTGGGCGGCCAGTCAGTTTACGAGAGTGAGCAAGAGAGATAGGTTACGGCTGTAAGGGCGCTCTCCACATTATCTGTAATTATACGTACTACCAGCCTACGTGAGTATTACTTTACCCAATCCACGTGTTCGAACTCCCACATGATAGTGTGTCAGGTGTTGGAGGTGAGGAGTGTGTCAGGTGTTGGAGGTGAGGAGTGTGTCAGGTGTTGAAGGTGTGGACTGTGCCAGGTGTTGGAGGTGAGGAGTGTGTCAGGTGTTGGAGGTGAGGAGTGTGTCAGGTGTTGAAGGTGTGGACTGTGCCAGGTGTTGGAGGTGAGGAGTGTGTCAGGTGTTGGAGGTGAGGAGTGTGTGCCAGGTGTTGGAGGTGAGGAGTGTGTCAGGTGTTGGAGGTGAGGAGTGTGTCAGGTGTTGGAGGTGAGGAGTGTGTCAGGTGTTGGAGGTGAGGAGTGTGTGCCAGGTGTTGGAGGTGAGGAGTGTGTCAGGTGTTGGAGGTGAGGAGTGTGTCAGGTGTTGAAGGTGTGGACTGTGCCAGGTGTTGGAGGTGAGGAGTGTGTCAGGTGTTGGAGGTGAGGAGTGTGTCAGGTGTTGAAGGTGTGGACTGTGCCAGGTTTGGAGGTGAGGAGTGTGTCAGGTGTTGGAGGTGAGGAGTGTGTGCCAGGTGTTGGAGGTGAGGAGTGTGTCAGGTGTTGGAGGTGAGGAGTGTGTCAGGTGTTGGAGGTGAGGAGTGTGTCAGGTGTTGGAGGTGAGGAGTGTGTGCCAGGTGTTGGAGGTGAGGAGTGTGTCAGGTGTTGGAGGTGAGGAGTGTGTCAGGTGTTGAAGGTGTGGACTGTGCCAGGTGTTGGAGGTGAGGAGTGTGTCAGGTGTTGGAGGTGAGGAGTGTGCCAGGTGTTGGAGGTGAGGAGTGCGTCAGGTGTTGAAGGTGTGGACTGTGCCAGGTGTTGGAGGTGAGGAGTGTGTCAGGTGTTGGAGGTGAGGAGTGTGTCAGGTGTTGAAGGTGTGGACTGTGCCAGGTGTTGGAGGTGAGGAGTGTGTCAGGTGTTGGAGGTGAGGAGTGTGTCAGGTGTTGGAGGTGAGGAGTGTGTCAGGTGTTGGAGGTGAGGAGTGTGTGCCAGGTGTTGGAGGTGAGGAGTGTGTCAGGTGTTGGAGGTGAGGAGTGTATCAGGTGTTGGAGGTGAGGAGTGTGTCAGGTGTTGGAAGTATATCAGGAGTTGGAGTTGAGGGATTCT